ATATGACATTCTATAATCATATTAAAACTTGCGAAATCCAAGATTTTTTCGCCATGATTGGGTAAAGGATATACACTTTACTGGATGAAATGCAATTTGTTGGCTGCCATAGCTAATATTTTTTGAAGGACGGACCTGTTTAAGGGGGCACACCCCAGTTTATTTGGGGCCTCTATTCGAAGCTGCACACCCTCAAATCTAGCGACCGTCTCTGGCGTGGAATAATTCGGAAGGAGAATAACTGTATATGGGACGAAAGGGTATCTCTTCAGCTACAAGACAAGCTGAGTTTGGTTTCTTCAACCTTTTTAAGTTTGGTAAAATCAACGGAAAAAACATTATTTTCACTCCAAAATTAATGCCCAAAATTGCGAATTTTCGCGTAGGATAATCCCACAAAAAAAAATTTTCCGGACAGAAATGACTGATGCTGGCAGAAAGACCCAAGCCTTGACTATACCCGAGTAAATTATAAAGAAAATTCTAGTACTGTAATTTTCTAAACAGTCCACGGCGCGAGGGGTTGCAAATCCACCCCTACGAAGCCGCAGAGCGAAAACTAGGTCAAACGGGCGGATTACACTTGGCGCGCAAGGATACCCGGAAGTAAGGTTCGGAGCCAAAAGAAATTTTCACCCCAAAATCACCATTTCTTACACTTTTCAGCCATGTTAATGTTTAATGATACTTCGTGGCAGTTTATAAGAAATGTCACCTCAAACTTGGACCCTCAAAACCCTTTCGTCACTTTTTTACAACGGACTATCACGGACCCCGGTCGCGGAAGAACTGGGGTGTGCACCGATAACCACCTGTACTGCCAATTTTCTGCAACAACAATGAAAATTTTGAATGAAATGAGATTTTAACCCTTCAAGGCCACCACCACTGTGGAGTGTGACAACACCCCAGGGGAAAGGGCTGACATCCTCTGTTGTAACAGGGCTCTGCATCTGGGCTGGAATGTTTGGCAATCTCACTTTCTCCCCCACACCACAGTTTTCTCAAATTCTACTTTCTTCGTGTCAATAGTTTTCAGTAGCTGCTGGTACTGGGACATGTTCCCCAGGTTGAACTGTTCGGAGGGGTCGTTGTTGAGGTTGAAGAGCAGTGGGGGGTCGTGTCTGGTCCGCTGGGCAGATGGCCGGCAGTCCGGGTCGTGGTTGTTTGGATTGGAGTTGACCTGTCCTTGGGTGTAGTAGTGTGCCTTGTACTGTTTGTACCGCACGGCGTACAACCCGTACTGTGGGTCTGGAGAGGTGGGGTAGTAGAAAAACAAGTCCCTGGAACCCTGTAGGCATCAAAAAATTATTTCTCAAGTTGTGTTTTGTACAGTATCACAGCAATTATCAAAGCCTCTTATTTTGTAACACTAACTAGATGAGGCACAGTTCCGATAACAGTCACGTTGTTAAGGTTAACATTATTAGAGACTCATGCAAGAGAAAGCACCAAAAGATTATAGGAGGAAGCTGTCTTGTTTGCTCATCTGCAATGTACAAATAGATGCACCAACTCACACTACTTCCCTTATTTACATGTACATCATCTCCTTTACCACCCAATACCACAGCCTTACTGCAACAATGACATTGTACTTCTGGTGTAGCATGCCAGACTATACCCCTGGCCAGAAATGTAACAACTTATATTCTTCCCAGGAGTAGAGTCTGGCCTGCTACACCTGTATGACTAAAAACAGTCATAAACCTACCTGCTTATTCTGCAGGATGGGCATCATATCCACTCCATCCAGAATGACCCCACTGGGCAGTGGTGCCCCGGCTAGCTTAGCTAAGGTAGGAAACAGGTCCAGTGTACTGGCCAGCTGGGTGGTCCTGCTGTGTGCAGATATAACTCCCGGCCAGCGGGCGATGGCAGGGACACGCTGGCCACCTTCGTACGTGGTTCCCTTCCCACACTTCAGCAGACCTGCATTTCCACCTCGCTGTTCATTCCTCAGGCTGGGGCTATGGAATCATACAATTACAAAATATAACACTACACTTATACTTGTGTCTGGACACGTAAAAGTCATGTAACAGCATAACACCCAACATACTCATTGAGAACAGTAGGGGTGGCCTGATGTGCTTGGCTAAATACGACTATAGCAAAGCTGCATTTCAGTAGTAGCTACTTGCAAAAGCGCCATGCTTCAACTCAGTTTGAAGCATGTCACTTTTGTGGCACTGTTAATATAAGTATAACTTGAGTGCAGCACCACACTGTCCTTGTTATGTCTTGATGAATAAAAAAAAAAACTTTTGAGAAAGTTTGAAAATGACATTGACAAAAGAAGAAGAAGAACAGCCATATTCAGAACCCAGATTCCATAAATCCATCAAGATGTTCATGGATATCCGTGCTTTAATGGACAATAGACAAGTTCAAGAACTACAAAAAATGTGCAATTTGTTTATTTAGCTCATGTTTTGGTTTCCCAAATGTCTGCACTGCAAATTTAGGTACATGTCCTTTAGTTCTTTATATGTTATGGGCTTACAGTCAACAAATGCCTTCTTGTCAGCAGATGTGAGAATCTGAAAGCTGGTAATTGTTACATCAGAACCCACCCATTGTCAGAGGTGAAGAACACCAGTGTGTTATCCTGCACCATGGCCTGTTGTAGAGTACTCAGGACTTCTCCTACAGCCCAGTCCAGCTCCAACAGGGCATCTCCAAACTTTCCTCTGAATCAAACATACAGAAGGGATAGTGAATGGCAGAAGGGATAGTGAATACAAAGTGATCTTCAAAACACAGCTCACCAGAAGCTGCGATAGTCAGTTGGACACTTGGCTGGAATATGTTCTATGTCATACACGTGACATTATTTAGTTTTAGTATAAAAAAATAAGATATGTTTTTAATGTCTCTTTCAACTGAAGTTGCACCTACTCAAATACTCATAATCACTTTCTTTGAATCAAGTACCGAAATACAAGTGCTCATTTTTAAGCTCATTTCCCTACTTATTATCTTGAGGTCCTTTGAAAGCTAAGAGTGTCAGGGTATTATCTCAAATTCCAAGAGAAAGAACACATCAGCTTCTGATGATAAACTGTCCACTTAAATTATGCTTTGATTTTATCCTTCTCCCTGCTGCCTAAACCTGTAACTGCAAATGTAATAGAGAATTGGTAGCCAAATAGCTTCTTTAGCTTTCTAAAGGTTAAACAGAACCACCGTACTAGTACCTTGCTGAAGTGTTGGTAAACTCCACACCAGCAAACTGTGGATGATGTGTGTGTTGGAAGGCCAGGTACAGGAAGAATGGGTTTCCCCTGTCAGCGCTGGTCTGGATAAACCTGCTGGCTTGTTTCACATAACGTGACGACAGGGTCAGTAAGTCAGCGGGCTGCTCTACGATCCGATTGTTCTCGTAGACCGGACAGCCCGTCCACTGTGAGCCGCAGTTGTCATTTAGACCGCACGGGACCTTCGGCCAGAAGCAGACTGGACACGGACACATGTCGTGGGAGTAGGGGATGCCGTAGTAGTAGTCAAACCCATGGTTGGTTGGGAGGTAGGTCTGATTCACCCCCACACCCAGGTGCCATTTACCTGTTGTGATGTGAACATCATTAACCTTCTCCCTGTTGCCTTACCCCATAACCAGCACAAATTTGATGCCAAACAGCTATGAAGTATAGAAGCATACGGAAGCATAGAATGATGACACAATAATTGTAAGTGGGGTAGTAAGATAGAAATGCTTACCAATAATAGCTGTGTCATATCCCTGAGTCTTCAGCACTTCTGCGATGGTTGTTTCATTCAGTGGCAGACCACCAGTGGAGTCAGCCCAAAATACACCAGGCCACACCCCTGATCGAACCTGGTACCTCCCAGTCAGAAGGGCTGCTCTGTTCCAGGTAAAAATAATCAGAGAAAACAGCTCTTGTCAAACCATGCAACAATGACTGATTGCAGATTTGCAGAAACAAGTTTGTCAAAACTTGCAACTATACTATAGCAAAGCTAGATAGGGTCCAAGCAAGATCACCAAACTTTCCTGTGTTGAAAGTCTTCAATTCTCAATGACACAATCCCTTAACTACCCTCCAGTCCTTACCTGGATGGACTACAGACAGGTGTGAACCTCCAGTCCTTACCTGGATGGACTACAGACAGGTGTGAACCTCCAGTCCTTACCTGGATGGACTACAGATAGGTGTGAACCTCCAGTCCATACCTGGATGGACTACAGACAGGTGTGAACCTCCAGTCCTTACCTGGATGGACTACAGACAGGTGTGAACCTCCAGTCCTTACCTGGACGGACTACAGACAGGTGTGAACCTCCAGTCCTTACCTGGACGGACTACAGGCAGGTGTGAACCTCCAGTCCTTACCTGGATGGACTACAGACAGGTGAGCTGCTGTAGAACTGAGTGAACACCATCCCCTCCTGTGCCAGCCTCTCCAGGTGTGGTGCTGAGGAGGTAGGGTGGCCATACAAGGGCAGGTCTCCGTACCTACAAACAGTCAGACCACGGATCAGTCGGGATCACCATGCAGTATGGCTTCAATGTAGGTTATATGTTATAGCTTTTCTTTTTAGCTTCTTTCTAATCACCATCCTGTCCTTAGAATTATCGTTTGTTAACACCATTGATTATGTCCGGGATGGAAATAACGTGTGCCTACTTTGATGAGGGTCTGCATGCCCTTTTTCGTTAACCGTTATGGGCTATTTTAATTTACCGTTAATCGTTGCCGGCCTGCTCTAATTCAACGTTAAGCGTTATCAGTATATTCCTCGTGAAGCGTTATGGGTCGTTTTAATTCAACGTAAAACGTTATTTGTCATCCTAAATTCAGCGTTAAGCGTTAATGAATAATTCTTCGTTGCGCCTAATTTTGCCTTTCAAAGTGCAGGAAAATGCGTCATTGAAGGTTTAAAAATACAAAATTTCCCGGGGGAGAATGCTCCCGGACCCCCCTACATTGCTCGCGCCCTTGGCGCTCGACTCACGCTTCTGCGCTCCGTCCCTTCGGCTCTAGCCAGAACCAGCTTTCCCGTCAATTTCCGAAAGTTTGCGGAGTTACAGAATTTTTTTAACGAATCCGTCAACCTTGACAGGCAAATTAACAAAAATCTTGAGTAAAATATGAAAACATCAGAAGGACCGACAAAACACTCTCAACACCATGATTTGCCTCTCAAAATACGGGAAATTGCGTTTTTGAAGGCTTAAAAATCCTAAATTTTCCCCCTAGATTAATCCATCGGTAAAACTGGGCAGACTGAAAAAATACAAGCTGACCGACGTCGACTCGGACTCCCCTTTATTTGTTGACGGACTCGGGGACCAGGGCAGGTGGGAAACACAGGGAACACATACCTTTAATGCATGCTTCATTTACATGTAAGGTATACGTAATTTTGTCA